CCATCAGGAATGGAAGGTACAGCTGGGTCATTTCACAGTGTTCCCAGTGGAGTTTGAACCAATTTTCGTTTCCCACTTTGGATTCTTTAATTCTGAACAGCTGATGTGCTGAAGAAATGTTTTTCCATATATCACAGAAGTAATGGAAGGTGTAGCTCTAAACAAGGCTGGCCGACCTGTCCTCATATTGCCTGAGGGTGACTTGCAGTCTACTGGAAGTAGGTGTCCTCACCACTTTTGCCCATAGTCTAGGAGGTATCCTGATGGAAACCAACTGGCACATCCAAGCCAAAGCATGTTCTGAATCTAATTATCTCCCATGGCTTTTTTGTGAGGTGTGATGGCATGTCAGGCTAATACCCAGCTGACTTCCCCAGTTTCCTTTTATCAGAGTAAGCAGCGATGCATTTTCCTTCCTTGGAAATTCCCTGCACAACATTCATTGCAAATTTAACTTCCTTTCCTTTATGTCCTCTTCCCAGCAGGCCGCTCTTAACCTCCTGTAGAGGGGAAAGAAGAAATGGAGTGAATGGGGCAGGAGCCTGAGGTCTTAGCATTGCCAGATGTGAAAATGAAGACTATGTATGTGGGGTCAAGTTGAGAAAGTGAGATTTAAGCAAGAAGAAGGTTAGCTAGAAGCAAAATATGGATTATTGAGGAGAGTTAAAGAGGCAATCTCCTCACGAAAAAGGAGAAGACAAGAAGATCCAAGTGAGGCCGCTCACCTCACTGAAATGTTCCTCAAATTGAATCTTGTCATCTTCAATATGCATGATGGGGGCTGAAATGGCATGTTCCAAGTCATAACCCAACCACAGCTTGTTTATAATCGCCTGCAACGAAACAAATCCCACACTGACTGACTGGAGACAGTGAGTAAGAACCTGGGTCACACGCTGCCATCCTCTGTACTGGTGTTAAGCCCGGCCAGCTCTACTGCAAATCCTGCCCGCGGGGTGGTGCAAACCTGGACTGTAAGGGAGGCTGCAGTGAGTCAGAGCAGAAGTCCAGTTGTCACACTGACCAATAGCAGATGCTCAGAGACAGTATAAGAACAGAGTGAGCGTACAACCGTACTTCCCAGGATGCTCTTCCTCAGCCAGAGTGGTGCTCTTGAATTCAATAGCTGCTAATGGATCTTGTGTGTTTCTCTTGATGGTTGTTCTGTTTTCATATCAGGTTCTAGCATGGACTCCTTCCCATGTTTCTTTCCAGTTTAAGAAAGATGAAGAAAATCTTCTTTTTTTCCTCTTGTGCCCTTATCTGTTTTTATTTCTTGATTGCTAAACAAGATGATGTTTCAGCAAGCTCATTTTCATTAACAAGTCTTCCTGAATTAATCTCTGTGTGTATGTGTGGTGGTGGTTTTCTGTTTTTCTTGTTCTTTCCATCATGTAGCTTATCAGTTTATTTTCAGGGGCCCAGGCTTTTGGGCAATGCCTCTCATGCTAGTAAATTCCTTACCTTGCTCTTCAATCAACTTTTTCCCTTTTAAAAAGCAATTGAGTGAGGGGGCTGCCACTTGCTCTGGCCTTCACTTTGCAGACATAGATACTTCTAAATTGCAAATACACCAAAGCACCAAGGAGTTGAGACCTGAGGAGAGCTGAGTAGAAAGAGCAGTTGGGACTGACCATGGCTGGAAATTTGTGAAGGCTGAAAGAACTGGCAACTACTGTGGGTTCTCCCACCTGCTCCATTGCTGGTCCCTCCTGGTGGAAGTGAAATTCCACAGGACAGCTGAAGCTTCCCCCTGCCCTTTCCACAGAAATGCTAGAGGCAAGAAGGTCAAGAGAGATGCAGTCTGCAACAGGACCTCTTTGCTGCTGCCTTCCACATAGCAGAACTACCAGCAGCAGCAAAGTAATTCTTGTTGTGCAGGACAGTGTGTGCTCCCCTTGCTCAGTGGAAGGCATTACTGCACGGTACCTGTTCACTCACCATAGCAGTAGCACTGATAATCCGGGCCCCACCTGCTCCTCCAATCACGAGCATGTCCCCTTTCCTGGAGATGAGAATGGAAGGAACCATTGCTGAGGGAGGCTTCTCTCCTAGAGAAGAAACAGAGAGTATCATTCCTCCTGTGTGGGTTGGAGGGACACATAAGTAAGTTCATCTACCTCACCCTTCTGGCATTCCCCATAGAAAACCAAGCTGCTGCTCGTTCCTGAAGAAGCTCGAGTCTTCCAGCTTCCTTGTGCTGAGACCCCATCCCACAAGAAACTGGAGCTTTACAGCACAGGCTAAATAGGAAGCATCCCTTGGTACAGGACAGGGCATCGTACAAGTATTCAGAATTTGCTGCAGCTCACTCAACACAGCCGAGGAACTATTAGCAGAAATCCTGCAGTACTGATGTCCTCTCGCAGCAGACCCGAGGGAGACTGCATCAGGGATAGCTTATTTCACAGAGCCATGTTTCTGCGTTAACCCTGCTATGTTACAGAACTCAGTGTAAGCCTATAGCACTTCCCAGCTCTGCATGCAACTGTACACTTTTCATAGATGAGCCTAAAGAGTCAGCAAGCTTGTCTTAGCAGTGGTTTCTTTGCTTCTCCCCTCCTCTCCCCATCAGTCAGCTTCGGATTTTTTGTTCTTTTTAATCTCTGAGTTCCCTGGTCAGAAACCAAAACTCCCACGTTTTTGTGTAAGAGCATAAGTGAGTAGACAAGACACACCTTAGAGCTTTATACTCTGTTAGTCTAAAATAAACTTACTCTCATCCAGATCTAGGAAAGGAAAGAGTAACTGCAGTTTACAGATAGTCCCTGCCCACTTGTACATGACCTGCATATCCACCTCTTGGCCTTGTATTTTATTTTGAGGGCGAGAATGCTCACCTGGTTTAATGCTTCTGTCCGATATGCAGAAATCAGCCAGTTCGTTGTTTAAAATGATTCCAGTTTGGTTAGAATACACAAAGGAACCAAACCTGCAGGGGAGAAAGATGTAGCCTTTCAGTGCCCAGTGCTCTCCTGCTGTGGATGACCTTATCTGACCGCAGCACCCTGTGGGTTACCCCTGTCCCCTCTCAGCCTGCAACTGCCCCAGCCAGGGTGTCCAAGAGGTGTTTGTGCTGCTGTGCTGGAGTCAGAGTGAAGCTCCCTGTTACCAGTGCATGTGGGGATTTGCCCAGCTCACAGAAACTCAGCAGAGCTCAGCAATGTTCCTTTGCACTGGTGCTTGCTGTTACATGAAGAAAAGCCATTCACAAGAAAGAGACTGCTAAATCTGTGAAGCCCAAGTGTTTTGCATTTCTGGTAAACCGTCGTTGCAGGGAAGCTGATGCATGCCCTGCGTGACTCACTTACCAACCCCTTGGCTACTCACGGGTAGTTGATGGTGCTGGTGGCAGACACGGCACTGCCATCTGCAGCGAGCACAGAGATGTGGCTTGTACCTCTGCTTTTGTATTTGTGGTTGTAGGTGGACTCCAGTAAGTTGTAATGACTAAGTGGATGGTCACCATGGGTATCTATTCGGTGTCTGGCAAGCTCAACAAGCTGGTCTGACAGCATGGTCTCCACTGACACCTGCAATAACAGCAAGAACTGAGCATGTATCACCAAAGCACAGGCACATCTTTCTTCGGGCAAACAAAAGCCTGGGGGGATTCAGCCCCAGCAGTGAGAGCTTGGGGACTTGCAGTGGCAGCATGAATCCCAGGGCCACTCTTGTAACAGAAATGAAATAAGCTGAGGCACCTCAGCATTGACATGAGCATGTGCACAATCTTTACCAGGCAAGGGCGCACCAGCCTACAGCTGAACAGAAACTGCAGACAACGTAAATGGCCTAATCCTGTCTCTGCCTTGGTAAACTGAGCCACCTGCTCTTGACTAGCAGTTGTAAGTATTTTCGTCCCTTCTCTGGCTGCAAAGCAGGAGGGTATCAGAGCATTGCTTGGTACCATAGCATTGTGCTGGCAGACAGGATAGTCTGGGCAATACGTAGCCTATTTGAGGGCTTAGCACATAGGCTAAAATGGGCTGGTGACAATGCAGATTTTAAAAAAAAGAAAAGCAAGGCAGGAAATGGACTTCCCTGCTCCTTCTCTGTCAAGCAGCGGTATAGAAGAAGCTGTCAGTGCTGTGCACGTCTGTGGCTGCCCCTATGCACCACGCCAGCTCACCTGTGCTTCGGAGAAGGCTGGGTCACTCATTTGGGGTCTTAGCATATTGCCAAACTTCAGGGCCTCTGCAATGCGATGGTAGGTTTCTACCTTCTGCTCAGGTGTTGCCAGTGATGCCTCATGGAGGTTATACTCTATGGAGCAGGATGAAATAACTTTGTTGACAGACCCAAGGAAATATTTTTTTCAAGAATTGTAGGAAAAAAAAGTTGAAAGGAATCGCCTTTTCTCATCACAGTTTTTACCAAGGTTTCCATATGCTTTAGTAGAGTGTGGGCACAGAAACAACCATGTATTCATTTCCTCTGTGACTTCAATTCTTCTTGAAGCCTTGGGAAAATTGTGTATCCTTTGGCCTTTGCAGCAGCTATGGTGATGCTGATGCACTGCAAGAATGAGCCAGTGCATCATCCTGCTGCATGGCATGGTCACCGTGCTGCTTTGGAGCCCACTCTGGTTCAGCAACTCCATTTCTGCCCATTATTTTCCTACTGCTCTAAAGCAACACTCTGCAAACCTCTTGCTGCCCCTTTTCCCTTAGGAATTTACCTTCCAATATCTTGAGGATGAACATGAGTACAGCACCTCCCATGGGTGGTCCAGGAGAATACACTGTGGTGTGATTGTTCAGGGTAATGTTCAGAGCTGAGGACACCTCTGCTTTGTATGCCTGAAGGTCCTCCAGTGAGATACTGGACCCTGCAGCAGAAAACCAGATAGCATGTTAACTTCTACAAGGTGCTGTGGGCTGGCTACCTCAGAGCTTGGTAAAGCCTGTAAAGAGCCATCCTTGTATACTCCAAATTTTTTCCACCAAGCACAGCATGTCTCCATGTGTCCTATTCTGCTGCCAAACCCCAGGACGAAAAGCCTAAGGGAGTTGGAGAGGACAGTGAATGAGCACTATGGATGAATGCCAGAGCAGTAGGTGGTTCTCAGCCCTGCTTCTTGGGCCTGAGTTATAAGAACTGGGGAAAGATGGCCCCTTCCCATGCCAGGTACCACCACAAGCACAAGCAAATGGCATGTGTTGGCTTTCCCCTGGTACCAACTCACTGGTAGCCACTTGCTGGGAAAAAGCCTGTCCATTAGTGTTAACTACAGCGTTACCCACCAGCCTTCCTCATGTCCTCCACGAGGGCCTTTCCAATCTGTCCCTCATAAAATTCCGTAGCTCCGTTTTCCGCTACAGCTCTCAGTGTTTGCTGCAGCACTGGCCACCTGAAGGCCTCTCCATGCTTCAAAAACCTTTGTCCATCACATATCAGTGGGCTGTTGGAGAAGAACATCCATCAGTTTACAGCATGTGCTCATTCTGTCCCCAGCGCCAATCTCTTTTTCCTACCTAAAGCTGATTTTATTTATGCATGTTGTATACGTTCCAAACCAGTGTTACAATACAGTTTACATGGAGAAAAGTTCTTCTCAGTTGATTGCTACCTATAGCACCAGGCACTCTTTTCCCAGACAGTTTCCTCCATGGGACCTAACACCTTGACCCTAGCCCAGGTCAGTGGGGCTTCTCCAAATGAGGGTCTGCTGCAGGGCCCTGCTATCAGAGGAAGACTTCCACACAGGTGAAAGCGGGCAACACACAGTCAGCTCCTCTTCACAAGCAGATGTGCTCAGCAGATAGTTTTGCTGTGTGAAGCCATTCTAAATTACAAACAAAAAGAAAAGGGAAAAAAAGATGCCAACAGGTTTGGTTTATCTTTTAAAAAAATCATTTGTTACTCTCTCCCTCTCCACAGCAAGTGTTTACTGAACAGAAGCCACAGCAGCAGCTTGTGCTCCATGTCAGCGTGTCAGAGGAAGAGTGTGAAGCTGAGGGAACAGCGGTCCTCACACTGCAATTCAATTCATGGCTCATACCACAGGCTTTTTCCTAGAATGGAGAAATTTGGGTGACGCATCATTCTGTCCATCACCGGGGAAATGACAAGTGGCTCTGAAAGGAGCTTGATGGTTGGTTCAAACAGGGCTTTCCATGGTAACCGGCCATGTCGCTTATGGGCTTCTTCATACCCACGAAGTTCTCCTGGCACAGCAATCCAGCGGGAACCTGCAGAGCAGAACAGCAATGTCACACCCAGTAAGTCATCAGTCTGTTTCACCTCCCTGAAAGCACTCTAAAATGGAAGTGTGGATTTGTACAGGCAGGACTAAGGCTTCTAAAAGCAAGCTTGGGTTTTTTCTTTTAGTTTTCTGGGGTTTCTTGTGTTTTTTTTACACTGCCTTATCGGAGGGTTATAGAGAAGCTGGAGCCAAACTCAGGTGCATGGTGAAAGCAGAAGAGTTAACAGGCACATGTTTCAGCAAGAGAGATTGCAGCTGGACATAAGAGAAAAAGCACTCGTGCATAGCCTGGCCAAACACTAGAACAAGTGAAGCTGTGAAATTCTCCATCCTTGGAGAAGCTCGAAAATGAGAGGACAAGGCCCTGAGCAGCATGCTTTGAGCAAGAGTTGGAGCAGAGACATCCAGCTGTGCCTTACAACCAGAGTTGTTCCTGATTCCTTTTCAGGTTCTTCTTCCAGGAACTAGGACACCTCCCAAAAGAAAATGTGCTAGGGAAGGAGAATGAATGCAGCAAGAAATGTGGAGAGATGTAAGACATGCTGCTAAGCCAAGAGTGCTTGCTGCCAAATCAGTAACTGCAAATGGGTGCAGAGCCTCCTCAAATGGGAGCAAGGTGGCAAAGACATAGCCGAGCCAAGCTGCAGCCCAGCAACTCAACTGCTGGGCAAGCACACTTCATATATTGGCTTCTTGCAAAGTTTGAGCAGCTATTGAACTTATTTTTCTCTCTAAGAACTGAGTTCTGTAAGCAATGAGTGCTTTGGGAAATCTGGTCTGGAAATCCAGACTTCCTGTGACGAGAAATGACACTGTGGTTGCTCCTCATGCCTTGCTTCCCACCCCTCCGCTGGTCAGGTTGCCAATATAACTACGGAACAGGTATTTTTATGGACCTGGTATTTTTCCTTACTTTTGCAAAAGTCAATCTAGGAAGAGTGCAATCAATTAAAAAGAATTACAAATAAAGTCAACAAGGTCCTCGGTTGGTCCCCTTTGAGCTCAGTGCACTGCACACCAAGAGGGCCCACAGGCCTCCAGGCCCGGTCTGTGTCCTTACCAATGAGGATGTTAGCAGCACAGCCGGACAACAAATCGTGCGGAAACACTCGTGGGACTGTCTCGCGGGCGTTGATCACCTCGACTCTTCCTAGAAAGGAGAAGGGGTAAATGCATAACTTGTCTTCCTGAAGCAGGTGAAGGTGACATTTCAGCCAGCTGTGAGCAGCACACAGGCTGCTAGCCCAGAGCCTGCAGCACTGCGCTGAGCTGTCCTGAAGCCTTTCACCAAACGCGGAGGCACACTGGCAGGGAGAGGCTGCAGTCGGTGCACGCTGTCGCTTACTCCCTTGCTTTTTGTTTAGAGCAAACGAAGCAGTGCCTGCCTAGAGGCAATGAGGGTGCAGGGGCAAGACGAGGGCCTGCCTCCAGCCAGGTAAGATCATCCCTCCCAGGTCTCTTGGGCCTGGGACACAAGCTGGGACGTGCTGCGTCACATCTGATTTGCAGGAAGCATAAGAGGACTGGTGATAGGAGGCAAAGTTACATGCCTCTGCCAAAAGGAAATGAAGAAGGTGTTTTGCCAAATTGTGCTATGGCATAAGACACACCCAAGCATTTCCAGACTAGTGACTCTTGAGACTACTTGGCAGGGCTTTAAAACTATAATGTTGTTACTGTGTTCATTGTTGATTTTATTATTTAGATCCATAAACTCTGGGGGCTTTTGGGAGCCAAGACAGTTAAAAAAAAAACCACTGAAAACATAAAAGCAAGAACACAGCACTAGGGGTTAAGCCAAACACAGAAAGTCTTCTCAGCAGGTCTTGAACATTGCTAGTTTTAGATTTCTGAACTGGAGTTGCATTTCCTGGGACAGGAAATCTCACCACTGCTTTGGTGACTCCCACCTGCACCAGTGAGGGCATTGTGAGGTGCAGCCCCCATGTTGGCAGGCACCACCTGAGCCACTGGTGCAGGATGAGCCCCCAGAGCCCCAGCCCAAGAGCTCATCTGAGCCAGAGACAGGCCCATATTGCTGTGCTCCTTGCCAGCACACACACCTCCCTCACTCCTCTCTGCCTCCCTGGAGCCCAGCGGCAGCTCAGACAGCGCTGCTCACACCTTGCAGCACTGTCAGCTATGTGACTTCAAAATATAATTTGTGATTGCTTTGGAGAAGGAGGGAGAGGTGAAGTCAATTAAACTCAGAGCTCCTTCTCCCAGCCCCAAATTCTTGCTATGAAAGATGTACTCCCTGTAACAGATGCTTTGGTTTAAGAGCAAAAGCCTGGTTTGTGATCAGAGGATATATTAAAAAAATTGTTCTGAGAGAGCATGAAGGATTCTGACTTCTCCACAGCAGCTGGGTGTCTGCAAGGAGATGAGGCACCATGGAGAGGCCAGGGATGGCCCGTACCTGTGCTGGCATTATAGATGGTAAATACGACCCCACCACCAAGGCCCGAACTCTGAGGATTCATCACTGAGGTGCAGATCAAGCCAGCAATGGCAGCATCGACAGCTGTGCCTCCACTTTTCAGGATGTCCCTGTGATAGAAAGGGAGGAAAAAGTGCAATGTTAAAATCCAGGAATGATGGAATTGAGGAGCCACATCAAAATGTCTCTCTGGGGCACTTGCAAGGCAACTCCAGCTTGACGAGAGCAGCTAGTAGGTGGAGAAAGCTACTGGCAGTAGTGAAGGGTGTGAGAGATCAGAAAGGCACCTTCCTTTGTAGGAATGAAAAAGAAAAATTAGGGAAATAAGGGAAAGTCTGCAGGAGGAAAGAGCAGCCGGGGGGCCAAATCTGCACGGCCCTGTGTAAAGGGACAGAGAGAACCGCAGCTGCTTGCAAATGCTGTTGACAAAAAGGGATAATGAAGACACAGAGGAGGATGCTCTCAGCAGAGGAGAGAGATTTCCACGTGCTGAGAACCAAACTGACTTCTAGCTCCCCACCTGCTCTTCCCAATAAAAAGGCAGATGGTGGTCAACAGGACAAGGATGCTGAAGGAGGAAAAATGGGTCCATGTGAACAAAGACTTAACATAACAATTAGCACAAAAATTCAGGCTTTACTTGATTGCTCCTCCAATCTGCCTTCCTAAGCTTATGTGACATGAGCACAAAACCACCCCCCGCTCCAAAACAAACAAACAAACCAACTCAACTGTTTCTACCTAGGTACAACCACGCCAAAGAACACACAGGCATCAAGGCAGCCTCATGCTGTTGACAATGAGTTCCTGCTAGAGAGACGTGTCCCAACAAAGCCTTCCCTCAAGCACAGTTTAAAAAAAATCTTTTCCTTGCAGTGGGTACGTGATGGGATGGGGTTTCCTTGCACAGCCTTCCAGTAGCCAGCACTGGCATTTCCTAGAATGGTTTCTGACTGGCTTGGGACATGGCTTAGATAAGGCAAAGCCAGAAGAGGAAGTGGAACAGTTCATTAATAGGAGTGTAACTTCTCCCAGAGGCTGTGGCAGGAACACAGAGCACATCTAGGGACTGCTGTTTATTTTACATCCTTTGATGGGGCTGGGACCTGCTGGGGCTGGGAACAGGATGCTGCCAGGAGGCACACTGATTGTGGCTTTCCTTTGTTTCTGTAAGTGCCTTTGGAACCACTGCCTGTAAGGAAATGGCTTGTGGACAAGTGGGGAGAAAAGAAGTGGTAGGGAACCACCAGGCTTTCTGTTTGGGGTCTGCACGGCTTTTAGCCTCCCAATGGCAGGCTGCTCCCTGGCTGTAGCTCTGAAAATGAAGACTGAAGCTCAGGCTCACCCGTTCTTCTCCTTGCAGCAGGGGTAAGAATCACCACAAAAATGTTCCTGGGTCGTGTTTTTCTGAAACTGAAGCTTTTTAATTGCTACCAATAGAAGGGAAGGACTGGAGGCTTTCAGGAGAAACTGAATTACCCCTGCAGAAGGCCCAGAGAGCATGTTATAATTTGGGGAAGGAGGGGAGAAGCACTGCTACACCAGCCCAGCGCTCCCCAGAGCCCTGGATTATGGTCTATGAGGCAGAACTTGTGCAAAGCCTTGTACCAGAGAAAACATAGTTCTGAGATAATTTGCAATAAAACAACTTTTAAAAGAAATTTTGAGTTTGTATGGTATTCTTTTCGATGCAATGCGTTAAGACCTTAGCATGGAAAATCAGATACATTTTTGCAAAGCCTGAAAAGCACCAGGTTCTCACCCAGGTCCACAGCCACCTTCACAGTTGTGTAAGAGGTTGAACATCTTGCACTAGCTCTTATCCCAGGATCCTCCTGCCACTCTCTTTCTGAGGTTGGTGCCATACACCCTTCACCATATCCCCAGAAACACTTATGCCAGGAGGAACACTCCCTGATGAAGATCCTCCACCCTCCTTGTGTCATCTGGTGATCATCTACCCGCACCAAAAGATGTTCTGCTACCACCACTGATCTGCACCAAGCCAGCCTGCTGTGCACCAGAACTGCATCAACTTAAAACGCTCTAAAGGGTAACCACAATTAATCAATTTATTAATTCAAACACTTAGATGACCTGTTTCTAAGATTTTTTTTGTTTTTCCAAGTACTTGTTTGTAGAAGCAACATGGTGTGCTAAATACCCTTTAACTACTGCAAATGTAGTGCTATACGCACAAAGCATGCAAACCTGAGAGTTTCTGCTCAGGACCTTATCCAGGCTCCCTCCCTGTGTTACTCCCAGTTAGCCATAGGGTTAGGATAGTACAGCCATATAAATTCCCATCTGTAGCTGTGCCCGTGGTTCCCACTGAGATCAGGGAAGACAAGTGAGGTCTCAGTCTCAGCAGAAAAAGTATAACCACCCGCTAAAGAGAGCAACAAACTTCTCCAGGGAGCTAAGACCTGGACTGTCAGTGCCATTGGCAAGTGGGACACAGATCTCCTGAAAGCATCAAGGAACAAGGAGGAGGAGGACATTCACCAGCCAGTGGAGATTACTTGGGCAGCACTGCCAGGACGGACACATCCTGCCTGGCATGGCTGAGGCAAAGAAAGTACTTATTTATGAGCACTGATTACTCCAGCCTGCCAGTCCACCCAATAGTTTTCAGATGGGTCATGCCCCAGACACTGCGACTGCAGGCCTCAGGAAGGCAGGAAAGCCACAGACAGCCTTTAGCCTCTATTGTTCCTGCTTCATGCCCAGCAGAGTGGCACCCTGATTCTTGACTGTGACTCTCTGTCACAGTCAAAGCACTACAAAGCAAAAATAACACCAGCAGCCAACATGGGGACACGTTTTCACAGAAAAACAAAGGATGCTTTGCTTTGTCTTTGGTCACCAACCCTCAGTAATCACACTTTGCAATATAAAGATGACAAGACAAACAGGATTTCCAGATAATCCAGATGTGCTTTCCATCCCTGCCTACTGTGTCTATATTGGTGGCGACTGCCACTGTCATCTCTGGTGGCAAATACCACATCTAATAACACAGTCAAATCTGTTTCTTGCTCAAGGGCTTTCCAGTTGCCTGATGCCTTTCAGTGAGCACCATGGGATGGAATTAAGGCTTCCCATCCACTAGAACAGTGTGCAGCATCTGAGGCCATCTCAGCACAGCATGGGCTGTATGATGCTGGACTTGGTCCTTTGCCTGCTGCTCCTCTGGTGGAGAGGGGTTAGAGGGAAGAGAAGCTGAGATTCCTCCCCAAAACTAGGCATTATCTTGGCTCTTCTTGGCCTGGAAAGAAGCACTCCCAGCCCCAAGTTGCACAAACACATTGTGGAGGGATCGCACACCGCACTGATACTGTTTCCCTGGCTCTGTGGGGGTGCATGTGTCTGTCAAGTTTTTCACTTGCACCCCAGAACAGAGGGGCTCCATGACACAGGACAGGCATGGCAGTAGCTACGGAAAAGCAAGCCTTACGGTCGGGCTCTTAGCTCAACTGAATTCAGCAAGAGTAAAACTAGATCCTGATCAGGATTATTAACAGGATTTCCTTTGAGCTGCTCTGCTCTTTTACTCAGGAGGCTTAATATGTATCCCCCATCAACAGCGCAGGGTTCAGGGCACGCAGCCATTCTGTGCTATCTGCAGACTGACCCCCCCAGTCTCAAAAGCTTTCCCTCTAGCCTATGAGTCTGAAACACCACAAAACCACTCTCTGAGCTGTCTCTTGGAATACCACACTTGGGTCCCCACACCTGGCTCATCCAGGCTTTCAGCCAGAGCCCCGCCACTTCCTTGGAAGTGATGCCTCGGGCACTTAGGGCCATCGTGTTTTTCTCATCCAGCTACACCGGCTGAGCACACCCTGTCCCATTAGGCTGCTGCTCCCTTTACAGGGATCACTGCTACAGCGAGCTGAACTATAACGTAAAACCTTGGAGAGACACATGGCCCCTCAGTCAGTGTGTGGTACCTTACCAGATCCCTCTAGAGATATCTTAGTGCTACAGCTGACAAGATGTGATAACAACATGTTTTGTCCTATATCCTTCCTGCCACTTAGTTTCAGCTTCAGGGTTTGTCTGTTAATGGAATTTCCTTAAAGTCAGGAGCAGAAGAGGATGTTAACAACCAAGTCTCACTCCAGCAGCAGCAAAACAGGGATTCACCCTCCCAGGAAGGGTGAATGATGGCACTTTGTTCACACAGTTCTCACAGCATGGGCTGAGCTGGGCTGCAGAGCAAGTCTGCAGTTCTGCACAGGGCTAGAAGGAGCCCTGAAGACATTTTAAATTTATGGGAAATGCTAAGATATTAAATTATACTGAAGGCGGGTTTTTCTTCTGCTAAAGAAAGCTGGGGGCTGAGAGAAGACCACCCGTAACATAGCAGCTGTTTGCTAAAGACTTATGAAGAGCAAAAGCAACAGCTGTTTTTGTAAAAAAGGGCTAGTTGCCAAATTTAAAACTATGGAAATTCAAGAAGAAGGGAAGGCAAATCCTTTGGGATATAAGTATTCTTCAGAAATGTTGCTAGGCCATCACTGAAAAGGATTTTCACAGCAGATTCTCTGCCTAGAACTAATCTTCCCAGGATCACAGATATTTTCTGACTGTTAAATTCTCACCATTCTCACACACCCCACCACCCTGACCCCAGGCGGGTGTTCATCTCAGAAAAAGACAGTTCCCAGGGTTTTTGCTGGGCTACATTGGAGCAGCGGGATCAGAGGTGCCTGCTGCTGCAGGTCAGGTCAGCTCGCCTCACTGCAGTGAGTCCCTGCTCTGGGAATAAGAACTATTCCTAAAGCTCTGCCTGGCCTTATCCTGGCTCTTGCTTCTGCCATTTGGGAAACAAATGGATGCAGAGCAGCAGATGACAGAGCTCAAACAGCACACTGGTAGTGAACATAAAGCTTTCTGCATGGTTGATGGAGAAAACCTCTTCCTTTGCCAAGAAGGAACAAGTGGCTCAGAGGTGGAGATGAAGGTGGGATTGGGTACTGCTTGCTGCCAGGACAATCACCTCCTGTCTCCTTGTGGATTTTTGACACGAAGACAAGTTACTGAGGCAGACTTTGGTACCAAACCCACATCCTTGGGTTAAAAACTGCTTTGCCTCTTCTTTTAGCCTTCAATCCCTCTTCAGCAAACTGTTTCACACCATCATTCACTTCATCACCTGTTGCAATAGGACAAGGGACTATGGTTTTAAACTAAAAGAGAGTAGATTTAGACTAGATATAAGGAAGAATTTTTTTACAATGAGGGTGGTGAAACACTGGAGGAGGTTGCCCAGAGAGCTGCTGGAGGGCCCATCCCTGGAGACTTTCAAGGCCAGGTTGGACAGGGCTCTGAGCAACCAGATCTAGTTGCAGACGACCCTGCTCACTGCACAGGGGTTGGACAAGGTGAACCTTAAAGTTCCCTTCCATCCCAAAATATTCTATGATTTAGGGACAAGTTTTCTTCCAGCACAGGGCCTCTGTCTGGACCAGACAGCTGCACAATACTGTTTTCAGTCTCCAATCTCCAGCAGTAAAACCATTCACAGCAAAAGCCCCAGCCTTGTTCACAGAACAGAGAATTGGCACTGATGGCTAAGAGCAAGTCTCGCACAGGACCTTCCAACAGGGATGATGACACGCTGGAGACTTGCTGAGGTTGCTCACTTTCTGCAGGAAGCCAAAGAGTTGCATAAAGAGTTCAGCAAGCCCAACGTTATACATCCCCAGAATATACCAACATGATCTCCAGAGCTGGAAAACCCAAGCCTGCAGACGGCAGCTGAGCAGACCTGATGAAAAAGAGCAAACAGGGGCTGTGAGCCTGCCTCCCGTCTCCTGCTTGTACCAGCAAATTAGAGCCACAGGCTCCCTTCACTGACCCTTCCTTCACAGCTGAACTATCAGCGAGGGAAACACAAAGGCCCCGAGGTGTTTTCCCCAGCCAACCATCTTACTTGTTAAAAGAAAAGATTGCCCTTCAGGCAAGAGGCTCAGGTCAGTTATTCTCAATAAGTTCAACTGAAAGTTCTCTTAGGAGCACACAAAGACTCTGTCTTAAACACCAGTATCTTAAAACAACACAGTATCATGCAATGTCCCAGGAATTTCATTACTGCTGATGACAACTTAAAAAGCATGTGGTTTGAGTTTCTTTTTTTTTTAAAAAAAAAAAAATCACAAGATTTTTTCATTAAATAATAAAATTTATAAGTAGGTCAGAGATTAGGTGATACTTTTAGCTTCCAAGACTTTAGGCGTCAGAGCAGTGTGATTGGTTTCATGCCCTGCAGGGGTTCCTGGGAGATGGGGAAGATTTGTGGGATGGAAGGGGGGGCTGCAGGATGGCAGCCCAGGGTCCCAGCAGAGAGAGAGTCTGCGGGGTCAGCAGGGAAGAGCAGTGACAAACCAGCACTGTTGACTGTCTCTGTGGTGTGGCCTTCAGGGACTGTCTGCAGTGACTCCTGCCCCCACCAGTGGGGCCAGCAGGCAGGCTGACAGGCTCAATTACAACATGTGGTTTTCATTTGCCATACCCAAGCCACCAAGACTGATTTTATTTTTTTTTCATGTTGCTGGAGGTTGCTCTTTTCCTTTTTGTAGATTCTAACAGTTCACTCTAATTTGGCCAAGTTGTTAGCTTTGGAGGAAAAAAAAACCCCAAACTGATCACTAAAAATATTGATCATGTTGATCATATAATTGTTTTTACTTATCTTTATACATATGCCAAAATGCCTAGCTGTGTGGCCATCAATTAATTAAGCAATTTTGGTAGATTAATTCTCCTGCGATTTCTAAGCATTGATAGCAGAAATGAGCCTGTTCCAACACTGAGCTGCAGAGGCTAAGCACAGCTTCCTCAAAAAAATATGCATCTGGTAACAGCCATTGCTTTGGGACACAGAAAAAACAAGGAAATTATTATCCTTGTATGAAATTATTATCCTCAGTGCTCCCCAAGCTGGACCACGAGCAAGGAGCATGCTGCCTCAAACATGGAGGAGATGGGAGAGGGGTGAGGAGGCTGAGCTGGGGAGGCAGGATCAGGGCAGAAGTGCAGGACCGTGGCGGTGTGTTGGTTGGATGAGAAGACCAGTAGCAGTGACTGCACAGGCTCAAACACCAGCACGGGGAGATGGGTACGCGCGGGAAGGAGCAGCCACAGATCTGGGGGTGAGGCAGCTATTAGGCAGGAGAGAGAGAACAACAGCACAGGGAGCAAAGGGCACAGCAGGCACTCGGGAGCAGCACCACAGGTCCCAGCTCTTGTGCCACTGGGAATCTCGCCATTCATGTTTGCTCACATAGCTCCTTGACTCTACGATATATTCCAAGTCCAAACAGCCACCCTAAAAATTTGCTAAATGTTTGTGTAACTGCAGAAAAAAAAAAATGAAGACCTACTCAGCAAGAAACAGGAAAAAACAAAAGTAATTATTTCTCTTTTTTCTCCCTCTCATAAGACTCTTGAATTTGGGAGTTTAATAATTTTTGAACAGGAGAAGTCAATTGTAATCTCAAAATCACTCAGCTGACTGGCTGGGCAGTGTCCGGGAAGGAGATAGGTTTGTGTATTGAGGAATGCTTGGCTTTACCCAACTCTTGCTTTGCTGCTGAAACTAAGGTTAAGACTACTCTGAAAAATTGGATTTTATTGCTGCTACTGCCGTGACAAAATTCCTATGTGATGCTAAAATCTTGTTGAGCAAAGACTAGCCAGGAGGCTGCTGTATGCTCCTCAGCTCCTGGTGCTCCCATCAAGACCTCTGAGTCTGACTCGAGGAAGCCCTCACCCTGGAGGGTCACACAGGAGGTCAGTGAGAGGCATACTCCAAGCAGTCACATTGCTCTGAAAGGCAGAGACCCTGGTCAAAGTGACTCTGATATAGCATTCACGCAGTCTAATAGCCCTGCTAGACTTCCTTATCTATACAGTGAGATAACATCATTTTCTCACTTCATGGATTGCCATGAGAATTAATTTAGCGGTGACCATCAGGTGCTAAGAGCTAAAAGGTGACATACAGATAGAGCAGCACAAAGATGTCTGGGGGAAAATGAGTAAGATCAGATGCAGTGCAGAGCATGCACTAAGCTTCCTCCAAAGAAAAAAATGTTCCTTCCTTCCAAGCTACCACTACGGGCCAGAGAAATAAAACAATGACACGGAAAAGAGCAAACATTATACAAAGCATCTGATCACAAGCTCTGATTTTACTTCTGTTATGATCGATTGCAAGAACATGAGCAGATAGCTCAAACTGAGAGAACAACACAGGCGTTTGGTTCATTCCAAGCACAAAGACATCACGAAAAGAGCACAAAAGTTTCCAAGTAGAGCTACCCACCGGGCAAGGGGTGTGGAGCAGAGGTCTTGGGTGGGTAGATGCAGGGGGCTTGGCAGGGCTGGGGGAGAGAGATGATAACACTTGGAGCAGCAGGACATGATATGCAGATGCCCCAAGCTGGGGAAAAGGGAAAAACAAAAAGTATGATGGGAAGTTGGAGCGAGAGCAGAATTTTGTGGTGATCATTGGCCAACAATCTGTAGGAAATCCAAGGTGGTCTGTTGGGTTGGAGGGACACCACTGACCTTGTCAGCAAGTGTACTGGAGGCACAACTACTGCAATGGTTGAGGCTATGGAAGCCGAGGGAAGTCCTTGCGGAGAGATGGGGAGGGAACCCTTGGAGATGACAGCCCAGCAGCAGTAGCCAGCTAGCCAAAGCTTCTCAGCTGGCAACCTGATTGCAGCTTTCTGTGGCTCTTCCAGCTGGTTCTACACAACTTCAACTTAAAAATTACAATAGCTGCAAGACAAGTGCTGTGGTTTGCCCAGCAGATTCTTTGGGTAATCCAATAACATATTTTCCACTGTTTCCATTAATAATGATTTAAAAGATACTTCTGTCCTCTGAAGAACTAACCTGTAACTTAGCATAAAAAAAAAAAAAACCCATCTCATTCCTTGACGTACATGCAGTCACAGTTCGTTTTCTCCAGTTACTCACAAATTCTGTGTCAGCACGTCATTGCAAGAACCAAATGTGTGACATGGCAAGCATCATGTAATGACACTGTGTCTCATCTCATCCCTCCAGCCGTAAGGTACAGCACACAGGTCTGGCACCCACTGTAGCTTGTGAAGTTCTATTTTCATGTATACAAGCATTTAAGGATTAAAGTAACAGTAACAGTAAAATAATAACATTAGAGTAAAAATGTTTAAGACAGACGTTAAACAAACTGAAACCTGTGCAGGTAGAGAATTTTTTTAAAAAAAATCTTTCCTTCCAAGTGATGTAAGTATGTCTTTTGTACTTATGCTGTCCTGGCTGAGTTTCAATCAAATCTGCTCTTCACTTTCCGATATAGAGTGTCTTTCTTGATAGCAGACACACCTTCTGCAGGTTTCAGTCCAGAAACACACACCCTAACGGCTGGGATGCCCAGCCCCTGGGATCACCCTCTCAGCCTGCCTGCCTTGCCTCTGCTGAAGACCAGCCAGAGCTCTCTGCAAGCTCCTGTCACTTCTTCCTTTACTTTTAAGCCTTATCTGACAGACCACTTCGAATGAAACAGTTAATTTCCTGCTTCCCCGCTTAGAAAACAACATTCTATTTGTATACTATAAATATCTGTACCTTCCAAAGAGCAACGGGTTTGCAGACCTGCTAATTTTTGTGACATTGGATCATGAATGCACTGCCGACCGCAGTGCAGGGCTCCTTCTGCTCTCTCAGGGGAGCACCTGGGGAGCGGGATTGCTGCTCAGCCCCCCAGCCGGGGACAGGGCAGAAACCCAGCTCACTCCCGTAGTGTCCTGCCTGTCAGTCTGAGCCCACGACACACACAACAGGTAACCTGAAAAACTGAGAGGTCCATGCACATACCGGCCGATGACGGAGCAGGTCTCGGTGTCAGCAGCCACAGCACCGTGCAGGTAGCGCTGAGAACCGCACTGGGGTCGAGTCAGGATGACCACGAGGGCAACAACCACCGCCAGCACCCCCAGCGTCAGCAGCACCAGGCAACAGATCTTCCCCGTAGACATGTCTATTCCTACGCTGCCAGAGGCAGCTGAGAGGCTTATACTCCTTTTGCGAAGGCGCTGCTTTGCTCGGGATGGAAGTAGAGAATCCCGCAGTTTTGGGAGGGAGGTCTCACTGAAGCTGGCTCTGCCCCCTGTGACTGGGAATTACTCTTTTTTTAAATTAAAAACTGCTAAAAAGGAAACGGTGTATGCTGTTTCTCACTATCTTATGTGCCAGAGGCTTTTCACCCTCTTTTATAAAGTAAACTTTTTCTGGCATATCCACCACATGTTGCTTTTTTTTTTTTTTTTAAAGTCTCTGATGAAAACGCTTAACGCATTCACTGCTGGAGCACTTCAAAGTGAAACCTCTGCACTGCTTATCCACTTCACACAGCCCCCTAGCAGTCTTGCCACATGAAGCAAATTACCAAACAAAGGAAGCCTACGCGGTGAATCACTGGCAAAGTTGTAACATCAATCTTACACTGCAAACTTGGGTATTTTCTTTCCATGAGACTACTCAAAGAAGTAAAAGCTAAATACAAAATAGAAAGCTGGAACCTTCATGTTTACTCCTACTTTACCTTTTCAACATTAAATCTTGTCAGTGTCCACACCAAACATCTTCTGTAAAAGAGCATAACAGAATACCTTGCATAAAGCACGATGCCTCCGCACTCCTGCGAAACACTCGAGCTGAAAGCTCTGGGGTCCAGCATGTATGGGTCAGCAACCACAGCTCCCAGCAAGTGAACGGCTACAAAAACAGACCAGACCTGATCCTTAACAGAGCAGCGGTCAGCAGCATGAACTGCTACACAGCGCAACTGGCCTCAGCTAGCTCTTTAAGAGCCTCTTCATTATACAGTTCTCCTTGCACTTAAAAAAGTTTAAAGATAGGGCTCCACATCTGTCTGCTATCTTTCTAAAAGATGTTATCTGTGATACTTTTCCAGCTAGATTTGGGAGAAGGGGAAGTCACCTGCGCAGATTTAAACTTACATTTCAATACAGACTTTGAACTTGCATCCACTAAACTTTATCTCATAGCCAAGTAATGCTATTTCATGTATCATATTTCAAGAAATGGATTTGATAGACTAGACTATCTTTTTTTGTAGTCGTGTCTTCCCATAAGGTTATCTTGGGGAAGTGAGAATTGTCCAAAAAAAAGATACCATATTGTCCAAGATAAAACCATGGTCCCCAGTGAATAATTTCATGGTCTCCACATCTCGCTGACTTGACTAATTACTTGGCATACGCAACAAGCCTCCACAGCTCTAATGTGACTCTTCAGTTCACCCCATTGCAAAACATTGCTGACCTTGTAAAATTTCCCAGTCCTTACATGACTTTCATGTTTCATTTTTGACAAGTTTTCCTATAACACTTAAAGAATCATCCTTCTGTTGTTTTTTTGGGAAAGCTCTTCCTTGTAAATTCATAGCAGGGCTGGAAACCCTGACCACTCACCTTAGCAAAATCAAAGAAAGGGCCCAGCTGAATTTCAGGGAACCCCACGTCTTTGCTGAACTTTCATAGATTAAAGGCAGAACTACCGCCTCTGTGTTCGTTTCCTGTCAGCTACAAATTAATGCCTGAAAGAAATGCTCTGTCAAACCTCTATTCTACAGTTTGATGAAAATATTGAAAGTCAATTATTTGCATTGCTCTGCTTAGTGGAACACTTGGCACAGACCACTGCCCAAGGGAAATTTTCTCCATTAACTTTACTGTATGAGTATATCCAGGCACAGTTTACTGCACAGTATCAGTGTTTCATTCTTCCTATAATACTGCAGCCACGCTCAAGATTAGATTAACAGTGAAACCTTATGATTCAGTCTTTAACTCTTGAGTGCTCGTCTGGAGCAAATCCACCAGGAAATGCTTTCTTAAAGACTAAACCTCATTAGTACAATTACTATAGCAGAGGAAAATACTGACACTAGAAAACAAAAGGGAGCCTTGTGTGCATCCAAAGACACCAAGAGTAAACTCTGTCTGAACTCTGTATTGACTAAAGTGGGCTGAACTATTATGGTAGTGACCCTAAAGGACATCTGTGGAGGGTTTTAACTCACAGGAAAGTACTAAACTCACGGAAAGGACTGATATATTTATAGTGGAATGCACACATACATGGATATAAAACAACTTATATAGCTGCCATTGTTTTACAAGATCTCAGTGAGCCACAGCCAGTGGAATAACAGTTCACTGCCATGCTAAGTTCAAGAACTGCCTGGATCGGGGTTTGCTTGCTGGGTCCTGTGCAGCCTGGAGGTCCTTTGGTCTGCACAGAGCACAGCACAAGGCAGCACGAGCCATGCTGAATGCGCGAGGGAAGCAGAGCAGCTGAGGAAGCTGATGTGTGATTTTGGCAGGGATCTTTACAGAGAAAGCAACATGCCCAAATTGTGTACTTTTTAATGCCAAAAGACCTAGAACAATGACCAGAAAAAGGTGTGCTGGTTGAAATACAGTTGGCAAGTCGAAAAGAAAAACAATGGGGACAAAAATGCACTCTCAGCAAATCTCTGGCTTAAACTGGCTGACAAACTGGGCAGCAGAGCATCCTCCATAGGGACCCTGATGAACTTAAACAAAAACCTCACAGTTTAGTGAAGAGCAGGGCAAAGGTCTGCACCCGGGCAGAATAACATTATGCTCAGCACAGGCTCTCTTGTGAAAGGGCCTTGGCTGGCAGCAGGAGCCAGGCTGACCATGCGCCACAACATCTTCACTCCCAGCTGGCAGACCCGGGACTCCTTCAGGAGTGCGGTCAGCAGATCAAGGGAAGGCATTCTCCTCTTTTTCAGGCAGCACCTGGAACACTGTGATCCAGTGTGAGAGCTGAGCCCTGCAAGCTCAGGAGGAGTTGAACAAAAGGAGCCTGTTAAAGGTCAAATTCTGAATTCTCCCATCCCCTGCCATCCCCACACACTCTGCGTCCCTGGTTCATGCTTCTGCCTCACTGAATCAGCTGATACACGCTAACACCATGCAGGAGAGAGAGGGCAAACACTCCATGGGCTGCACGTACTGAGTGCCAAGCAACTGTGATGCTACATCTGCATTAGGCTGTTTGTGCAGCTGCTACAACTATCTTCTTTTTTTTTTTTTTTAACTTCTAAGCCAACCCCCCACCAGAGATTGTCTTAAAATGTTTGAAGAAGGAACTGAGCCCAGGAAAGTGGAAGTTGTCCCTAGAGACTTCTCGGTGTGATTCAGCATGATTGAGGAAAGTCGGAAGAGGAGGAGGACAATTATAAAATCATAGAACAGTTTTGGTTCGAAGATCATCGAGTCCAACCTTTGTCCTAACCCTATCAACACCACTAAACCATGTCCCTCAGCACGACATCTACCTGTCTCTTAAACACCTCCAGGGTGGTGAAGAGGAGACAGCTGTTCATGGAAATGATGAGGGCCATGGGAAGCTGATGGTGTTTTTGGCAAAGGCTACGTTGAGAACCATGTGCAGCAGGAAAATACCAGACAAATTAAGATACATTTTCTCTCAAATATCAGATTCTAATGGACTAATGATATTTACAAAGTCTGATCAGTTTTTGAAGGAAGTTCTTCGTTAAGGTTATATAGGAACAATAGGGACTTTTGTCTTAATAGACCATCAGAAAACAATCTCATGCTCTCAGAAATAGGAGCAAGGAGGGGAAATATATTTTACAAGTCCCCTAAATGGAACTGAAAAGAAAATGAGACCAGGCTTTTCTGGGATTTCCAGGTAAATGACAGAGCTGTACTGCTGCACACAGGGAGACTTTCCAAAGTGATTAACCACACTGAAATCTCCAAGTCAGGAATAAAGACAAGGGCTAGCATTTGGATTTCATCTCGTCTCCAAAGTGAGCAGGGATGTTCAGTCAGAGAACAAATGGAGCCAAACAGGACCCACTTTCCTCTGGAGACAGCAGACTCCTTCTCTGCCTATCCCTGCAGCTCTTTTTGAGAAACAAGAGCATTCACAAGACATCACCACTGGAGTTTCGCAGTTTTCCTACCACCTCACTGGAATCCAGTGACATCCACCAGCATCAGTGGTGCTGAAAGCGGGAGGGAGAACATATGCAGCTGGTGCAGAAAGGGTGGGAAAGGACCAAGACACGCCTCTGGGAAGCCACAAGCTGCTGGAAAGTCTCACTCACACTTGACATAGACTCATCTCACCTCGTGAGTCCCAGCTTAAACACAGTTTAAGCACTCAGCACTGCTGCTCTCTCCCTGCTGCACTTCCAGCACTTCAGGAAGGTTAAGTCCTGGAAATGCAAGCCAAATGTGTGAGTGCTACAAGTCAACAAGGATCTCACAAGAACCAGCATGTAATCAAACAGTGCAAGCCGAGTTTCTCTGCAAGAGAAGGAGGAAAGAGCCCTTAGGATCCTTACGTACTTCACAAGCAAAGCATTGGAGAGAATGACAGAAGGAGAAAAGGCATCTCCACAAACAGCCCTTGCCACGTCCTAGTGCAAAAAACAATAGGGTTATTGTAGATTGTGCAACTACAGATGTAGTTCTAGCTCTGTCCAGTCCCTAGGACAATAGCATTGCTTCATAATCATTCTCCTTTCTTCTGAATGGCCCTGGGAGATTGTGTGAAACAGCCCTTTTCTTGTGCAAGAATACAAGGAAGTGTTTGCTTCCTTCACCATAAAGTTGAGGAGCAGCATGCAGGAAGGCGGAAAATGAGTCTTCTGGAGTTTTTCTGTCCTTTTCTTTTTCCTTGCTCATCTTTCACTGCTGTTTTACTTTGGAAATTCCCCAGTGTTCAAATCCTTTCAAGAAATGGTGTTTCCAGGCTCTTGCACAATTCCCTTTGGAGCTGCTGCATTATTTATCCTTAATCACTTTCCCACACAGGGCTCATTTCTTCCCTCAAAATTTTTTTTTTTAGGGACACAGTGATATTATAGTCCCAAAATTTACTCAGCTGGAACATGGAGTAGGAATGGCAAAAATTCAACTGTCGCTCATTCACGAGAATAAGCAAT